AAAATACATACCTACTTACCTATAAAAAAAATATTTTGATTACATATTTCTAGACTGTGACTAAACTTACGATTATATTCGTTTGGTACATAAACAACTTAAAAGGAATATTGTATTACATTTTGCTGTTACTTTCCAGTGTTCTACACATGCAAATTTAAATAATTTTGAAAAATATTAAATTATTTTAAACTTATATATCATAAAGCAGTGACCACTGTCGTTTCAAACCTTATTTGTGGCGTTAAAAAAAATTTAGAAAAAAATTAAATAGATAGTCTTACGGCGTACGTAGTAAAAATCCCTGTAGGTTTTTTATTCTGTCAATATTAAATATCTATACTTCATTAAAAATGTTTTCTTTTATCTCTTATTGCACTGGATAATAGTATGATAATATATGTATGCCTGAAATGTAAATATTACAATGGGAATATTGTGCAATTACTTCCATAATATTACTAATCCCAGTTGCGCGATAAACTATACAAATATTTTATTAAGACCAATCTTAAATTATATTTTATTGATCAATTTTACTATAAAATTAGAAAATAATCTCTTTAAAAAAAAAAAATAATAATAATAATAATAAAGATTAAAGAATATACCATATTAAAATCAAATGTAATAATGTCTCTAATGAAAATATATATACGATCATTAATAACCCATTTCACAAACGTACCACAATTTTAAATTTTTCACGAATTTAATCAATACAAAAAATTAGTTTAAAAATGCTTCAGAAATTGTATAGTTATGAAGTTTTGAATATTTCCATGCAGTTTTTTTGTTTTTGATACTATGATATAGATAAGCTTAAAATAATAATAATAATAAATTCAAGTGCATATTGCACAGTATGTATAAAAAGTAATAAAATTTGGAAACATACTTTTTGAAAATCACCAAAATCGTTTTTGTATCTACTGCAAGTCGTAAGCATGTTGAAAATATTGTAAGTACTACAATTTAATATAGGTACTTGCGTGGTTTTTTTTATTTTAACGTTTTTATTGATATTTTATATTATTGTTTTCGTTTTATAAAAATGCTGAAAATATAGCTGAAAAGCGAATATGAATTGAAAAATCTATAGAATGTTTGACTAAAAATCTATTTTTGGTTTTACTATTCATATACCTACATATTTTACTCGTGGGAAAAAATAAATCAAATTATTTAGATAAAACTCATACAAATATACATAAACGTACAGTATTCTCATTTACATAATTCGTAAAAAAATTTCAATGTCTACGTTTATATATTTTTTAACTAATTTTTTTAATGTGTACGCGATAAGAGTAAAAATTATCAGCTTACATTTTTTTTTTTACGAATCTGTTGAAAAAAATCAAGTAAATTGTATATATTACATAAAACTGCGAGATCATACAATCTTAATAGGCTTAGCCGCTTAGGTAATTTTTGTCACACATCTACTATAATTTTAATTCTGATTTGATTATTATCTGTTAGCAAAATGAATTATATTTATATGTAATTATATWAGGTTTTTGTTTCCACTAACCGCGGTGGTGCATGAAATGTGGAGCTGAACACTACATCGAAAATTGCACAAAACAGCTGGAGGAACCAGCAAAATGTGCAAACTGTGGGGGAAACCACACTGCCAATTATAAAGCATGTCAAACCTTTAAAAAAATATTAAACCGCATCAAATCCAAAACCAGAACGACAGAAACAGTTCATCAACACATTCAAACATTTCAAACACATGCCACCTGTACCTCACAGAAGAGGACATGACGAGCTAAGCTCAAACCCAAAAGAAAAGCCCTCATATGCCGAAGCCACAGCGAACACTCCACCACCCGATCAACCTCTGAAAATCGTCATCAATTTCCTTAACGAGTTAAAATTTAGTCCTAAACCCGCTACTAGCTGCTCTAACATGCCTAATAAACAAAATCCCATTCTCCATCATTTCTACTCCTTAATAAATTTAGATACGCATCACATTATATATTATCTTCTGATCATACCATATTTAATATATAMATTTTTAATTGTATTAATAAACTTTTAATAACATGTAATATGTTGACACATTTTAAAATACAATAAATGAAAAAAAAAATTAGATTTTATTTCTTTGATATTAATATATTCTGCTTGGATAAGAATAATAGCAAAAAAAAAAAATCTATACAAACAAAATGAACAACATGTATGTAGACTCATTGTCTTAATTATTAAAATTTAAAATAAAAACAGAAAAATAAGATAAAAATAATAATAGATYTAGTATTAACCATTATTCATTACTTTTATATGATCGATCGTCATGACTCCGAAATTGTGGGTGGTACAACCTTAGTACCTTACCAATCAACTTTTAATCTATACAACAAATTTCTTGGCTGTAGGATTATATTATACATAAAATTGGAATATTCCCAAATCGTCCCGCCACTGTGATTTTTGAAACAAATCGCTACTCTAAAACATCAATTTTTGTTACCTAACTACTTTTATTTATAAATATTTATTTGATATACTTGTCATATCAGATATTCGTATAATATTATGCAACATACAAATCTGTAGGAAATTTAAAATCATCAAAGTAAGAAAAATATTTAAATTATAATACAACAATTATACTTATTATAAATGTTTTCTTTTGAACGAACCAATAATTAATAATGTTTCACAATGATGTTTTTTTCCATATTTTGTGTCGAAATAAATTTTAATAAAAATACTCAAACATGTTCGTACAACGAAAATTAACTACCTGACCAAAATTATAAATTTATAAATGCAGTAATTTTCGAGCTTTCTTGATTTTATAGTTGCACCTGTAGTATATTGCTTTACACCTTACCACGAATAATTTGGTAGTACAAAGCATTCTTCTCATTCTACCTRCGTTTATATTTAAAAATTTTAATTTAAAATCTTAAAAAGGATAAAAAAATTGTTTATTAATAGAACAATATTTTTTGAATTGCCGAATTTAAAACAAATTTGTTTATGTAAAGATACAATTCAAACTAAGAAATATTGTGTATTAAATATTTCAGCTGAATGACTTTAGATTTAAACAATGTTTTCAAGAAATACAATTTAATATTTGTTAATTTATATTTTGTGTAGAAATTTTTTTTCTCATTGCGAAATATTATTCCCTAAGTTAAATAAACTAAAATGTACAGTTAATAATCTATTTTTGATACATAATTTGTCATTTATAATCGAGATATTTCCCTGATTTTATTTTATTAATATGAAATAATAAGATAATACATGCCTAAATTAATTTTTATGTTTATTGAATATAGGTACTTAAATAAAATAAATATGTATTTAAATTTTATACTGTGTTATTTTAGTCAAATTATTATTTTAAACAGTATTCAATAGTGATAAAATGCATTGTTGTGGACTCCAACAACAGGTACAAAAATTATGGCTATTTGAGAAATAATAACACGTGTTAACCACGCTGCACTATACTGTGTATAAGAGAGCTTTGATTATTTATATTTTGTAAAATATTACTTTTAAATTATTTTAAAAAATTTCAATGTAAGATAAAATAAAAATATTTTTGCACGTTTATGATTTATCAGAAATTTACAAGTACTTCTCTAACAATAAATTATACAATTATATTTCTTATTTATGAAAAATGGAACTTTWTTTTCAACAATAGGTTCTTGTTCTTATTTCTCCGATTTTGGTAATGTGTGTGTTATTAAAATACTTAAAATAATTAGGTATAAAGGCTGTGTCTACATTATAGAAAGGCTTCATACATATTTATCATAGGTTTAATTAAAATATTTATTCAAAAATACAGCAATTTCGAATACGGAATAATATTCTATTGGACACTGAACATTGTGTCTCAGCATTTTCCGTTCGATATTTAAATACAAAATTAGGTCGGACCTAGTTCTCAATCGTCTTTTTTCTTGCACGCGCTCATCCCTTCAGGCCTAGTTAACATTTCTAAATGCAGATTGTGCACGACGTAGTCAATATGTGAATCTGAGTTCTCGATTCTCCGAGTTGATCGTACCTATTCGTGTATATATTGAAATAATATATTGGTGAGTAATGTAACAACTAAAAATTTAAATGAAAACGTTAAAACGGGGCTTTGTAAGACGAATCGGTCCGGTAAGTCACTACTCACTCTGAGAAAATAAAATAATTGACCTCCSCTCACACTACATGGTCATATTATATTTTCCTCAAACGATATTTTCATGCCACACGTGTATTTTGAGTTTGACGTACACGGCCGAACATATTCCTAACCTTAGTTCACGAATAATGCACTCATGTCCAACATATCTTTCACCCGACGTTTTCATTGTTTTTTTTTTCAATTTTCTTATTTCCATTCATCCATCTGTAAATCAAAAAATCTATAGAATTGCATGCTAAAAATCATCTGGAAACGAACAAACTAAATGTGGATGTGCRACTGGTTTAGACGTGAGCCGTGACATCTACCATTTACTACCTATTATATTTTAAATCTCGATAATGCAATAGTGCTCATCGTCACGTTGCATTCACACAGACTGCGTCAAATCGTATTATTAAAATTGAATCGTAAAAATAAATCCTAATATCCACGAGCGCCATGGATTACGCGCGCACCTATATCTTTCTACACAATGCATATTATTGTATGTTTTAAGGAATATTACATTATTACGATAACAATAACGACTTGTTCTCCGAGCACATAAATGTTAAGAGTTTCTAACGCGGCATTTTCTTTAGACTATAATAATGATAATAATAATGTAATATTGTATTTTTAACCGTCGCACAGCCTTCACACCGGATCCATAAAAATGTCGTATTCGTGGACTCGGTCTAGTTCAGCGCGCAAACGCGTAAAAAAAAAAGGAAGAGCAACGCACGTGCAGAGGTGGATGGTAAACGGAAAGGACGACAAGATGAAACGCTTTTTGTTCGTTTGGTATTATATAACACTATACACATAATAATGGGTACAATAATATTATATTTATATGCTATTAAAAAAAAAGAATCGGTTTTACAGACCATAAAGTGCGAACAAACATAATACATACACATAAACATACTAATAATGATAATAATAATAATAAAAATAATAAACGATGGAGGTAATCACCCGTCGTCTTCTATTACTAATATAGGTATACAATTGTATAGTATTAATACACATTGAAAAACAAAACAATTACTATGAATTTTATTATGACCGACAATAGTGCAATCGCATGCAATTCTGAAATGTTTGTTGCACCGATCGCGTTGCACGATAATAATGCTTTATACACTGTAACGATAATAACAATAAAATATAGCGCACTGAATATCCTGATGGACCTAGACTTAAAGTGTGCATACATAGCGAAATACGTTCATAACACTGCAAATTACAGATGAACACGACCGAAATCATTTGGCTACATTGCGGAAGTCCGTAGAACCACATAATTCGCGATATACGTAAAAAATCAATATAGCATTGTCATGCATGCGTTATTGTATTTGACCATTGTCGAAAAGTGGTACGATTATTGTTTTTATACTCGTACCTATTATAATATGGTATAMCTGTATGATGGGTTATTATAATAATATTATGAATTTGTTGTTTGACGCACCCGCGAYATGACTCTGTAAACGATGACGTGTTGGTGATGACACGTGTAATTAAATAAAATAATTACTGCGACGTTTTATCGTCTAAGTACATGTTAAAGTACGCACACGTATTGTAATTACAATTTATGCATAACGATTACCGCGGCCGCGTCCAGTTACACACGATGGAACACTAACACTATGACAATATTACGGCTGCAGTTAAGGATATTAACGTTAAATCGAGATTGCGGGAGATTTTTTTCCAATTCGTTTAAATATGTTTGCGTTTGAAATATTGTTGGTAGATTCGCAGAAACTGAATTTCAATCTATACCAATATTTGGAGTAATGAGATATTTTATGAAATAAAAATTGAGAAACATAGTATTAATAAAATAACAATTATTATAATAAAGCGTTTACGTTATGTTTAACCACAAGATTTTAACTAAATAATAGCTGTAGCCAAAAGTATGTACACCTCTCCCTCAAAGAAATAGTATAGGTAAAGAACTACTGACCACAATGTCCGTCATACCTTACCTCCGGTAGGATCGCTTTGAGTCATTACACAAAATTCTGTTATATTTTTACAAAATCAAAAATACTCAAAAATCAATTTTTAAAAGCTTAAGTAGATATCAAAATGTGTAAAAAGAATTTACGATCAATAATATGATAAGTTAAGTAAGACGGTTAATAATGAAAGTAAAAATCAGGAAGGAAGTTTTCCAAACCAATTATCGGGCGATCTGCAGCGGAATGTATACCTATATAATACGTGTCAATTGCGATGCAGTAAAGACAGTATCGTATACTTGTGGACTCGTGTAGTAATGTATTTTAATATTATATCAAAAGTATTATTATAAAAATGGTATTAGGCACGTATAAATTATTACAGTGATATTACAGTAATCGGTTTTTAGTGTTATGCCAGTGATGAAAACAATATATCAATAATTGATAATAATTAATAGTAATAATAGTAATAATAATAATAATAATAAAAATAATTATATAGATAAGCGACGAAGATATCGCCCTGTGTCAGTGCTCATCGTCGCAGGTGGTTGAGGTCATCCACGTCTGTGTAGTCCTCGCGCAACATCAGCTTGCCAGCCCCGTCCAGCCCGGTGCACGACATACCGTCCGAGCACTCAAGTCCGGAGGCGCAGGGGCACAACATCGTGTGCACGAACAGATCGGCTGACGATCCGTCAGGATAAGTGACGGTAACGTTTTGCGGTTGGACGTCGCCAGAGTTTGGTCTGCACGTATCGCCCTCTTCGCCCAGTGGCCTACAAGTGGGCACGCTGTATCGCATCATACCTGGACAAAAGAAAAAAATACAAATTGAGTAAAATCACAAAATTTTATTCACCAGTGAACAGATTAACACTGTATTTCACGCATATTGGATGATTCAGAATTTTTATTTTTATTTCACCTTAGTGTAATATAAATGTTTAAAAAATTAGAAAAACGTATATGATATGAAAATTTTTTGATTTAAGAAAATCTAAAATTGTTTATGAATTAGATAGTTTTTTTAAATAACAATTTAGATTAGGTAAATGCGAAACACTATTGAGAAAGATTTAAAGTTTATGCGAGCATTCGTTCATACTCGCAAAATGTTGTTATTCGACTCAATTGAACTCATAGGTTTTATAACTTATGATAGATTCATTCAAAATTTAATTTTTATGAACCAAAATACACCAAATAATATCCTCCTTCAGAATATCATTCTAAAAATGTACGTTGACGTTTACAAAATTAAAAACTTAAAAAATGATAACGATAAAAAATAATACATTTTGAATCATCATCGGGTATATAAATTGTAATAGATTATATTATACCATTATAACCATAATATGTTATTATACATTTCTGGTAATAACGGCTCATTTTTTGCGATATGAATATAATAGTATTACTTGTTGAACGCATGTGTCGTACAACAGGGCAAAATATATTATATTGAGGTATTTTAAATATATAATAAAAATATGATTGATTCTTTACAGATCATTTCAGTTGTATGATTATTTTTTAATAAATTTCCGCATTTGTTCAATACAATATTGTGGCTTATTATTATTTCCGAAGTACCTATTGTAACTTCCGTTGTTTTTATATACGATAAAATAATAAGTCTAAAAATAAAATTGTCCATTATTTATGAGGGAAAAATTTCAAATAATTCGATTGGTCTACGACGTTACTATACTGTATAATATAAGACACACGATCCAAAATACTGTGTTTACTTACTTTATATACCAAACAGTTATTTTTTTTTAATTTCCCTATTGTTTTAACAATGAGATGGTAAGACAAGAATATTTACATTTATATAACTACTTTATTGGCTATACCAATAATAACTTATAATAGCGTATGGTATGATTATATTTTATAACTTACAAAAAAAAATGAAAAAAAGGTTCATCTTGAAAGTGGAGAAGGGATGCATGTTATTATCGAACAACCGTTACAAGGATGGACCTATGGAAACATATCTTTTTCACCGCATTGACATATTAAACTAAATATATTATTATTATATTCACACCCAAATATCGATCACATAACAACTCTTCGATGTGATTCAATACTATTTCAGACTATAAGTATTAAAATTGCTTAAATTTATAAATACTAGATAATTCAAACGTGCATTACGTGCTTTATAGGTTATTACAATAAACAATAATACATTTTATATGATGATAATATAATATAACAATACTTTATTGTCCAGTACATCTGTAGCTTTTAATTTATGGACACTCATGAACACGAACATAAACACGAATTATTGTTTACCAATTATTTTGTGAATATTAGCGTTTTCATTTAAAGTCAATAAACGACGTTGTCACAGTAAGAMAGTTGAAAAATAAAGTATTTTCAAATATCCAATTATTATACTCGGTTATGATTTTATTAATTACCTAATACCAGATGATCTATTTTTACTTCTTGTTAATGCGTGTAGTAATCACTAACGTATGGAGATGATAAATTACTATGGTATGAACAAAATATGATTTTAATAATTTTGCAATATTTAAGACTTAACTACTGTCTCGTTTGAAGTGTGTAATCAAATTGTATAAATGGAACTTATATAAAGTATAAATATCAATGAAATAACAATTGTCAAAACATAAGTTTCACGCACATGCCATATAAATATATTATTATGCCAGAAGTCAGTACGATTTTCCTTATAGGTAACTGAAATGCAGTATTTTTTATTTATGATACGTTTATATATAATAATTAAAGAAATTAGTAATGATAAAGTTTCGACTTGAAGACCAGAGTAAATATTTCTTCGCGCTGATCTGAGTAAATAACATTACAAAATTTCGATTTCAGATCTTTGAAATATATACATATATGTATGTTTATGAAAAAATAAATAAAGTTTATCGGAATAATAGGTACGCATGCATTGCAATGTAAAATTGTATATTACATTATGCGATGACGCAGGGAGATGATAAATCGTATAAATGCGAGTTTATTGTCACGGATATAATAATATACTCGAACGCAAATAAAAACTGTAATAACGTGAAATTATTGTTCTCTAACACGTTTATTTTTATTCATGCAAATTTGGTTGACGATAAAATCTCAAATATAAATTTACAAACGACTGTGACGAATCAAAATAATACGAAATGAGTGTTATGTCATAATATACATTATAATATATTATTCCGTCAGCGACTTACTTAGACATATCACGAAAACACCGTGTTTGAACACGAAAAACCCGTTGTAGTTCATCGTTCTTTCACTACGTGCAATAATATATACCCCTCCCCCCGTTTTCGTGGATATGTATTTTGGGGATTAAAAGGTGATTGCTTCGTATTAAATTCATAAATAGCAAATTGCTATCTTTCCGTATGGTTCAGGTAACCTCTGAGCGGTACCGCGATAGATGCGTTGTATATTATAAAACACGAAAAAAAATCTATACCACATCGAGGTAACTTTAATCTGTTGGACTGATTAACCATATACATTATACTATGGACCCTATTCTATAGGGTTGCTTTCGAGAAGTAAGATTCGATGGCATAATTAGATATTTGTATTGTGATGGGGGTATAGACATTTTTTACACACAAAATACCAAATTGTCAAGTGCAGTAATCAGTGATAGCTGAAAATACTTTTATCATAAAGGCCCTAGGGGATCTATCACCTACACCACTATTAACTACACCCCTGGTAAGATGTTATAGCTACGTATGTAGGCTACTTTTTACTAAAATAAAACGTTAAGTTGACAAATATTATTTTTCAACAAGTCGATTTTACCCGACACAGTTTATAACCTGTAATTTTCCTCATCCAATAGTGAAAAGAAGTAACGAAATTAGCCAAAAAATTAATTTTTTTTTTGAAAAGCTGTTAGCTAACAAAATTAATTAATTTTTAATTTCTATAAATCAGTTAAACTTAAAAGTTTATTTCTCACAACTTACGTGGTGAGTCGATATGACAATATTACTAGGTACATGAAAGGAGGATAAGATGATAATGGACTTTGAGTTTCATAATATACATGGATATTAAGTATTAAGAGGTCGGATTTGGGCATGGCTGTTTTCGACTAAAAACATACCCTTCCCTTTTCGGCTAAAACAAAAATGCATATAATAAATTTAAAATAAAAGAAGAAAATTACTTAAAATATAAAAACATCTATATAATATACTATTATTTTTCGTGTTAATATGTCACAATATGTATAATATTATATAAAAAAATAAAATGATAATACACAATTTTTGTCAATAATGTGTGTAATTTTAATATATAATATATATATAAAATAATTAACTAATAGATATAAAATTGTTCTAAAATAATTACAAATGTTAGTGATAATAATTAATATTATATACTTTATGTTATGTTATACTTATAGAAAATTATTAAAATTATAAGTTGCATAAAATGTTATAAAATGAAATATAGAAAGTTATTTAAAATGTAAAAACACCTATATATTAATAATTTTTTTTTGTATTAATTATGTAATATTTTTATAAAAACATGTTTGATTGTATTAATTTAATTATTTATTGACAAAAATTGTATATCATCATTTTATTATTTTAAATTTTTGTTTTGGTCGAAAAGGAATTGACCTTTTTTAAATTTTGTTGAAAAGTTAATCGGTCAAAAGGAGAAGGGTACGGTTTTGGTAAAGAACGGATTAACCCACGGCTTTATAAGCAATAAATAGGCTTAACTATAACTTCCGGTACCTTCCCTATAATGACATAGTCAACGAGAAGCAAAGACTATGAATTTAAATGGTAATTTTACGATGGTATAATATTCATATCGTAATTAAGTTAGAGGTCCCCTGTCGATACAATACTTTGATGTCAGAGCATATTATATTGACTTAATAACCAATCTAAGAGTACCTATACGTATTTTGGATATGTACTTTTATTTCTATTTTTATTTTTTTTTTTTTTTTTTGATAGGGGCTCAATTATTATATTAGGATGTATTTTAGGAGTTAGATAATCATTTATACACATTTTTTTWAACATTAAGCGCTACCGTTATTTTGTGAAAAATAATTTTTAATAATTGTGAAAAAAGCATTATCAGAGATAACTGGATAATCTCAAACAGCAGAATCGAGACACTACGATTAATTTAAGATTAATATTTAGTAAAATCGAGATTTTAATAAAATCTTTAAAACCACGTGTTTACCTATGATATAAAACACTTGACCAACCTTAAGCTTACAGGGAATGCTCCAATAAATTTGTATACCAAAGTGATAAAGAATTACCCACTCACCTACCGTAGGCACTGATATATATGTATATATTATAGGTACCTATCATTCATCAACAAAGAAAATGCAACTGTTGTCGAATAATATTATATGAGTCTGTTCTTCAACGGAGGAAGGAATGAGCTAAACTTYACCCTATTTACGACTGCATGCCTACGGGATACGAGGACATCAAAAATAATTGTGTAACAGTTTTTTTTTGGCCATTCGCGTAGTAGGAAATCGAGCAACGACTTCAGTAAAATAATTCTCATAAAAATAAAAGCCAACAATGACGAAAAAAAAAAATGCTGATAGAATATACTGGTTGTAACGGGTTTATCAAACGTCGTGAATTTAACAAATAAAATCCTTGTGTAAAGGTACACAATAATGTCCTAGATGTTAGTTGTATACGTCATAATCTCGTGTATTGCGCGCCACGCATTTAATGTACAGCGGGCGTGAGAAAACGATTGAAATTCAATCT